TGCGCTCAATCGTAACTGTAATGAGCAGTAGCATCAACACTACAATAACCAGCTTTACCTCTTGTTATAAAATGCTCGTCTACTAATTTTCTTTGTTGTTCTGCTAAATTTGTATTTTTGTTGTAATAGTTTCTCTCTAACTTAGCTTTAACTAGATGTTCTTTGAATTTTTTTAATAAATCTTTCGCTTCTTCTTCCTTGCGAGCATTGTATTGTAAGTCGTTCCGAAAATGTTGGCACGTGTCACATAAATATCCGTTCTTGGACTCATGATTTGAATATACGGCGTTAATTGGTGCCATAACTTGCAAAACCGTCATATTTTAACAACTTCAACGTGCTATCGTTTTCAAGACCTGCAATAAAATTACGATAAACCGATTTGTAACTCGTTTCGGCTGGCAAAAGTGTAAGCGATTGAGTAATGCGATTGACATTTCTACCGGGACTTGGTAATCCATGGATTTCAGCATAGTTTTCGAGAAAATTCTTCACGGCGGTAGCAACGTCTATATCAATGGTTAATTTGGTTTTCCATCGTGACATTCGTTTTATGTTACCATGCACGCGCGGTATTATACCATTTATTAGTAGGTGATTTCTGACGTTTTCGAAGTGAGTGCGGCCAATTCCTAACATATTGAGATACGTTTTCTGACAAAGAGGCGTATTGCGATCTCAATAATAAAAAATTTTTTATTAGTACGCGTTTTCTTTTTAAGACGTCGGCTGGCAGTTATTTCTCCACCATTCATTGCTTTCAGTTGGGCTATTAAAAATATGTCTTGCTCGGATCTAGAGAGGGCTTGAAACGCTTCACGTAATTCGGCAAACCTCTCTCTCGGAATCATTTTCGAGCAACCACATTTGCAACCTATCTCTAAGAAACACATGGCTTTTTCATATTCAGTCGAACCATTATAATTAGAATTTTTCATATACGGGTAATCCTATATATTAATTTTATCATCCTAGAAGAAGTGTGTGAGCAAGATATGAACAAGAGACCTTACTTAAATTGGTGGATAATTGCTTCTATTGGCACGTGACCTATATTATCTTTACTATATGATCCATCTTCAACAGGCGATATATTATCTTTGAAAATATCATAAATCCTTTTTTATTATAGCCACAACATTCATCTAAGTAATGCTATGAAACTATATTATCAATTCATGTTTGTATTTTCTAATCTTGTTTACAAAGATTATCTAATCTGTCCCATTTATCCATGCATGCAATAAAGCCTCATTTGCTGCTGTTTGTTTTTCCTTCAACATTGCTACAAATTGTTTTCCCTGTTCAGAGAGAATTGCATCAAACTTTTCCATCATTTTTCCCACTTGGTAGAGCTCTGAAAACACTGTGTATTGTCCATTCACTAATGTTCTACTATCCCAATCTGTAAGTAACTCTTCAAATGGTTCATCTGCATGCCTTGCATGCTCGAAATCAATTAGAACATAGGGGAAGTCTTTATGATCTTGAATACTATGTTAGGCAGACGAATGTCACAATGCACATACCCTCCTGAATGGAGCCAGTTAAGCCCATGCAGAATACTCTTGATAAGTTTTCGTAACTCACACTCATTTTTGGGCAAGCATTTGAGGCCTCTTGTTGTCATTGTGACTGTATATGATGACCGGCTAGTAGCAACTTTCTCAACCTGTACAAGTGCTTCATGACTTTTTGCATAATTGTATACTGTAGATAAGAATTCAATAATTGTCAGAGAAAAAAACCTCTGTATGACCTAATTTGAGTCTCTTTCCGAGGGGGAAACCATGTCAGGTAGAAAACTTTCTATTGTAGCAATAATGCGAGCGATATTGATAATTGTGCGAATGCAGTAAAATCGATCGATTGTAGTACGCATATCAAGAATATTCGTTAGCGGGACTAAGAGTTCTGTGTTTTTTTCGTTTTCAGCTGATCCATCTATTGCATAAAAGCGGAGCTTCCACCGCTGCCGCATAGCAAATCATAAACTGCACACTTTCAAAAAGCAACGAATCTAGCCGGTAGAACTTTGTCTTGAGCTCTTCTACAGCAATGTCAAAATCAATCTCGTTCGATTTTTCCTCTCCTTTGAATATGAGCAAATCCTTCACCCAAACAAGCAGGTCTGGACGTTGATTACCAGTAGTCGTGGAGTTTCTTCAAATAATAAATTTAATCAACAAACCAGCAAAACGAATGACAGCAGCATACCACTGCGCTTCTCTTCCCCATCAGGTAGGAATGACTAATAGAACCAACTTTAAGGTGTTTCCGTAAAAACTTAACATTGTTTATCCGACACCATATCAAGAATATCTAACTCTTTAACCAGTGCACTATGAGCTTGAACACGCTTTTGATGCAAAAGTGGATTTTGTTGAATCCAGAACACGTCGAATAATCCAATAGACCAATCATGGACATTGTTATTTGCCCAGTATTCTGCAAACCAATGTCAATGTCAATGTGTCGATGAGGGGCTACTCACTTTTGTAACGAATACCGTGTGGAAGGAAATAGTCGTCGCCATTCTAGTCTTTTCGGCGCGTAAAGTATTCGGTGGATCGAAACGCGTTCACAAAGCTTTGCGTCACGTGATTTACTCAAGCCAATATTTCGTAACCTTTGGGCCACAAGTAGTTGGCACTTTTTCAACATCATTGAGGAGCCATGGAGATAATGGTATTGAGTAATATTTTATTATAAAAAAAGTTTTATATTTGAAACCCCAAAAACTCTTGTGCAAAAAACTGGAACGTTTACCATTCAGTGTGGAATGTCTATAACGATCATTAAATGATCTTGGAGATTGAACAGGATAACGCCAGTGCATTGATCTTAAGGGAAAATGTCTATCGTATTAGTATGTTTAATAAGTATGAATAAATCGTCGAAGATTAAACCAAACAATAAATGTAAGCGGAAATGTCTATATTAAACTTGACCAATATGACAACGCATTGATTTCGAATTAGACGCAATCAAGGTGGACCTCTAAAGCTTGTAATATGATTAATCGTTGGAGATTAACCAAATAGCGTATAAGCTTGAGAGTAAGGGGAAATGTCTGTCTCAAGTTTTGTCAATATGGCCGACGCATTGATTGATCTCAATACAACATTGACATCGACATTACAGTCCAGGAAAAAAATAATGGCGGTCAGCAAAAATATTTTTACAGCAAAAATTTGGGTTTAAACTGCTTCAAAGCACACGGTTACGTTCTAAAAAAGTTGATGCATACATAACATTGTTTATGTTTCAATAATGTTTAGAATAAAATTTTAAATTTTAAAAATTTAGCAAGTGAACAAGTTATAATTTGATAAAAAAACTGTAGGCCATATGTCAGACATATTTTTTACTAAGAAAATTAATCTTCCAGTACTAGGTAAAACTATTTACAATAACAAATGCTACCTTATTCGCACCCTTTTACCCCGCAGTTTCTCAGAAAGTATGGCTGTCCGAATTTAGAGCTATTGAATCAATATTTTTATTATACAATGCCTTTGACCAAAACCAAGACTTGCTTTTCTTGCATGAGTTAAATGCCAAAAACATGTTGAAATTTTTTGTGAAAGTTATCACCTATTTATTACAAGTAGAATCTGTTTCGTGAACAACATTAATTACTGCCAAAAGTTTAAATTGTATGTAAAAAACTTTGTGGAAATTGCATTTAATAAGCACTGCCATTATTATTTTCCCCGGGACTGTAATTTATACGCCGTTGGTGAAAATAAACCGTTGCATTGTTAAAATATTCGTTCTATAAAGAGTCTGCTGATATTCTCAAAAACCATCATAATGGTTGTTTGCCGGCAGTACATTTCGAAGAGACAAATACTCTAGAAAACTTATTTCTAGAAGTAGGATACTATTTTTAATTTCTTAGGCATCTGCGTACACCTAGTTGTTCTGGCCCGTAGCGAAATCCAGCCGATTCGCAATAGGCACATTGTCTAATATCACAATCAATAAGCGACATCTAATTAACATTGTTTATGTGATAATAGCGAAATATAATGTGCTTGTTTCGAAGGGCCGGCCTATCGGGCTGAATTTTGCTACGGCCAGAACATATAAATAAATGACTTTTCCGAATTCAACACATGTTGGACGTGTATTTATAGCACATATAAATAAAGCGTGTAATCTATATGCTGGGTGTGTAACAAGGGAAATTTACTATTTTAGTCCTTTTTATTGAACAAAAAAGACGTAATAACGATTATTTATATTATGGTAACAGAACTCGGGTCAAAAATCGTGCGCAACATTAAGGAAGAGGATCCGAACATGCTAAACGTTGCCAATAAGCTAAAAATAGCCGAATGACGAATTTAGTTAAATTGTCGTCTCATATGTTATACCTCATACCGACTGAGTTCTGGACTGAGTGACAGGTCCCAAACTCAGAAACAACACATATATCACATCGAGACTGTATAAACGATTCTCGGCCGCGTTTTCTTACTGTACCTGGTGGGCACGCATATCGAAAGAGGCAGTTCCTTTGAATTTGCTAGCTACAACTTTTTTATCTGATAAATTTATTAGACGATACGATAACAAATCATTACCAATAAACATATAACGGCAGAGTTGTATTCACGATGCCCCCCTTTATTAGGGTAATATGACTTTCTACAGAAGAAAGCACAGCTTTCTACCTATATTCAATGGTCAATTACAAATAAGCTTACACATGCATATATATAAGCAGATACGTTAAATATTACTTTCATACAGGTGCTACAACACGAAATATCATAATTATTTGAAATTGATAAGATAAATATTAATAATATTACAAAATATATCCGCTCGCGCAATCGGCTCGCATCATATTAATTGGACTACTTTTCCGCATCGCCCACGATTACCCTTGATGTCTTTACCATTTCAAATTAGAATTATCATAGAGATGCCCCGCTCCGGGACTTTGTTCATTTCCTTGTGGTCGATCCTCAGCCTCACCTAAATTCGTGCTGCTGCCGATCCATAAATAGTTCCAAGTTTGGGTAGAAAATAATCGCTTGACATTTTATTAGAGGCAGGTGAATGCGGCTTGACAACAGGTCTAAGCGGTGGTGGAGTAAATGTAGAGCGGTAAGATCCAGATGGGTCATTGCGATAAAAACTAGCGGCATCTCCATCTTTCTTGGCCATATAATACGCATCGCTCTCGACACCAGCAGCATCCTTCTGGTAAACATTACGATTGCCTTGAGAAACGTGTGAACTCAAACGAAGACCGTTAACAACTCTCCAGATATCATTAGTTTCGTCATCTTGACCTTTGTTTTTATCTTGGTCTTGCAGCGACGCTGAAGAAATTCCAGCGGAATCTTCAGAATACTGATACAAGTCGTACAAACTTTCTGCATAAAAACTATCTGGACTAGACCTCAATTGATGGTCATCTAAAGAATTCGGGCCTTGATCATTGCTTGCGTTCTCTGCAGTGTTTATTGCTCCTTGGTTTGTACTCTCAGTAGGAGCATTTCTAGTCACGCATTGTGCCAGGAGCCATTTACGGCCTTGAGCGCCAATAGTGGCTCTGTTATTGTCATTTGCATTACCATCGCTAAAATCTGGTTGCGTCGTTCCAGATGATGCTTGCGTATCGTCCGGACGTTGCGTGACAATTATGGTATTCTTGACAAAAGACCGTCTACGTCTCTTACCATCCTTACTGGCATTGGCGCCATGCTCCCGTTTGTCTTTTACGTGACGATCTGCTTTATCCGAAAAGTCAGGTTCGTATTTAGCTGTGGCATTTCGATCAGTAAAGTTGTTAAGCGCAGAAAAGATCTTTGCGGCGACGGTTGATTCGGCTTTCCGACGGTGAGCGCCATCCCTTTCGCTCTTTTCGGTAGACGCGCGCCCGAAAGTTGCCTCGTTAGCTATTGCAAAACTTGGGCTAACGGGTGTAGGGGGGGGAGTACGAAGCGCATAATCCCGACCGGTTATTGATTGTTCGTCTTCTATCGGATTGGTATTCTCTGATGAGTTAAGGTTCCATACTGTCTCTTTTTTGGGAACCGACGCGAATCTCTTAACACCTTCTGTGTGACGCTTGATGGCGTTGATGTTATATAAAGGTTCGACGGGATTCGTACTCTGTGGTATCGCGTCACTATATGCTTGAGGTATGTCTGGTAACTGTTTGTCATGTAATCTAGGCTTCCCGTGTTCAGTCGCAGTAGCTGCAGCAAAGCTTTTTACAAATTGCCCTTGCGAGTTTTCACTTGCCGGCTCCACTCCATGAATTGACTGTGTGGGATCGATATGAAATCGTCGTCTGAGAGTTTCTTCCGAAAAGTACTTACACAGAGACGGTGTCATTAACACTTCCGGTTCCGAGATGTTCATGGTGCGATTAGGCTCATCTTGTGCGAATACTTTAAACTTTTTCATGGATTTGGATATTCCGGCAGCATCAATTTGAAGTTTATTGAAGATCTTTAGGTTTTCGTTTGGATTTAGGTGCACGATGGGAACCGTTTTGATATTTGAAGTACTCGAAACAAGTACTGGTCCTGAGATTTTGGGCGTCCTTCTAAATTTGTTGAACCCAAATTTTCGTGTTGGCGATTTGGGCGATTCTGGTTCTGGAAATGCATTAGCTCTGCGAACGGCAAGGGCTTGGTTAGCGACATCCATTTGACCGGTTGCGATCAATATGTCAGTCAATGACATTGGAGGAGGCCGGGGTTTCGCAGGCGTCTCGTCACTTTGTTCGATTGGCTCATAGAGTCGGGTATTCGAAGATCCTGGATACGCGTTATTGTTGTCATTATCACGGCTGATATCGCTACCCTTGGTTTCATAGGCATTGACATTAGCGTTGTTTGCATTCTTGTCTGTAACGTTATCGTTCCTCGATACGGACGTAACTGAATAAGTTGTTAGCTGATACTGTATTATGGGTGCAGCGGATGTAGGTGCTTCACTGTCGTTATCATCATCGTTATCGAATGCGGCATTCTTAATGGCAATATCTTCAAGCGTGTTAATTTCCGAGCTCTCTTCCGATAAATCTCTTTGCGTGACAGAATTCCCGGTATGTGAATAATATTGGGTGTCATATGGACCATTAGAAGATTTGTTTACCAGTTGATTGTCTATGTGGGTATTTGCCGGTTGGGTCGTGTTTGAATTGGAAGATGGCATTGTTAGCGCAAGGTCATCTGAGCCAGAATCGTTGAATAAAGATGATAAGAAAGTGTATTTGGCCTCATCGACATCAGGAGCAGCTTGACCATGCATGGAATTATCAGTGGAGGATGGTTTATCTAATGTCTGACGACCATTATCCAAGATCGGATATGCGAGATATGGGAAATCCATTGCGGAAGCATTAGGTATGACATTAGACGCGGTAGAACTTTCCCCTTCTTGATTAGCATGACTAGAGTCTGTCGTTGAATGCTGTACCTTTGAGCCTTCGCTCGGAAGGTTTTGGGCATCATCAGCATTCATAACCTTATTCTCAATCACACCGTAATTCTCTCCATTGCGTGCCTTGTTGGGTGTAGATAAATTATAGGACGATAACGAGTGTAATGATTCTGTAAGAGAGGCACGCTGTACGACAATAGTCGGCACAGGGCCAGGTGGTTGCGAACCTTTGGAATGAGAATCGGCCCCAAATGATTTAGAGTCTTTCTTACGGAGGTCATTAGCGTCTTCGCGCATGCTTCTGTTGTAATACATTACTTCACTTATATGATATGCTTTGTTATTACGACAATTTGTATTAGGTGTTTGAAGCGCTAGGTCATTTGTCTCGGATCGTCGTATGAAGTGGAATCCTTTGACATTGTTTGGTGGTTCCTCTTTGTTTTCTTGAATATTGTCAAGCGATATTGAGGGCGAAAAGGCATTTGTTAGAAAGACATTTTGTGCATTGTTTCCGTCAGTTTGTTTCGCGTTCATTAGCGATAGATTTCGCGAGGCTGCCTTTGCGTCTGAAGCGGCATATGTCAGTGGTGTAGGGGATGAAAATGTTTTCGACTTCTCTTGACGTCGGAATTTCTTTTTTAGTTGAGGGAACCCGAGCGAAGTGCGAAAGTATGATGATATGAAATATTGATGTAAGATATCCTCTGCGGGCGATTGTCGTCGCATGTTGGAGATTTGGCTGGTTGTTTCTTTCTTTGCGAATTTGTGCATTTTAGCTGGGGAAGTCTATTTAGAAGGAGAATATTTTGTGTGTGAGTGTGTGCAAGTGTGAGAATGGGTGCAAATGTGAGAGCGGTTGCAAGACTACTAGTATGCTAATTGCAATTTGATTATTATTAGTGTTATATTATTATTACTATCATTAGATTTCAAGAGCGTCGTCAAGACGTCTTTTCTATTTGGCAGGGAAAGGTTGAAGTTGACTAAAGTCCTCCGTGCTGATAAGTATTTTTCCGATATCAATGACATTGTATTGTATATATATCGACATTCCATATGAACGAGAGTTGTTCGGGGACCATATCCTAAAAGGAGAGATGTTAAAATTTATCGACTATGTATTGTGTACACCGTTGTGCTTCACGTGTTAGAATACATATGAATGCATGTTTGTCGGACTGTCTTTTTTCGGAACTGCATTTATGATGTCACTGGAATAGCGAACTCTCTCAAATACCGAGAAGAAAGCATTCATAATATAATGCTTCGCTCCTTGATAGTAATGGTATACGTCGAGTCTGTTTTGTATTCACTACGCTGGATAGTTGGAATAAATATAAATTATCCAACACATAATCGTACATGTTGTTACTCGTTAGCTATTTACAGGTGCCGTTAAAAACTGCTCAATATCAAAATAGAATGCGACCCCATAATCCTGAGTAGTCATCCCATATGCAATTTTGACATTTCTTCCCTGTAAATGTAAAGTTTTGAGCGGTTTTTATTGGTAACTTGTGTAATTGACATTAAATTTGGTTAAAATAACAAAATTGTGGCATAATTACCTGCCCGCGAGGATGTCTCTGAACATAAAAATTGGCTACTCTACACATGCGATCGATACAGCACGCTGTTCCAATGAGATATCTGTACTCACACACTTGGGCCATGTCAGGCGTATATGTTGATCATACTGAATGGCCAAAAATAGACGGCTTCTGTTCTGTGTCGCATAACACGATAATCAAGCAATTGATTTGGCAATTGTTTCTCAAAAAAGCATTATGCTTCTAATTATGTTCCAGTTTCTCTATCCGTGTTTGTCGGTTGCCTATGCAGACTTTCAAAATTATTGCTAAAGATTGTCTTCTTGAATTTCCATTTGTAAATAGATTTATTTTCTAACAAATCGGTTTCAAAAAAATAACAGTTTATTGATATGTTTAATCACTAACGCTAATCATACTGATTAAGCATACGATAGACATTTCCCCTTAAAATCAATGCACTGGCGTTATTCTGTTCAATCTCCAAGATCCTTTAATGCATCGTTATACAAAGCACGAGATAGACATTCTAAACGGAATGGTACAACTAAAAAAACAACCTTTTGTTTTCATAATATATGCCTCAGCTCACTATCTCCATGGCTCTTAACGGATGTCAGTCCATCGTATTAGTATAGGAGAGTGCCAACTACTTGTGGTTATTGGCTTAGTAAATCACGTGATACAATGCTAATTTTCTACAACGCGTTTCGATTCACCGAATACTTTATGGAGCAAAGACGCCGAAGTCTGGAATGGCGACGACTATTTCCTTTCCACACTGTATTTGTTACAAAGGTTAGTAGCTCGTTATTACTTCATTTTGGCCTTGAAGCTTTGGACATTGACATTGGCATTGGTTTGCAGAATACTGGGCAAGTCATTCGACGTGTTCTGGATTCAACAAAATCCAATAAAAGCTCATGATGCGCTGGTTAAAGAGTTATATATGGCGTCAGATGAACAAGTGAAGGACAGAGTTGAGTTTTTACGAAACAACTTCTATTGGTCAAGCAAAGTTCCATGTATTATACGCCCCTCAGTGGAGGGTTTAGGGTGTATCCCTACCCGATGGGAAAGAGAAGTGCGGCGGTACCACTTCTTTCAAGTGCTCTTTCGTGTGTGCTCCCACTGCCTGAATAGTTGTGTTTTACCGCTAACAGTATTAGTATTAGTATCAGGGCTTTTTTTTTTTTTTTTTTTTTTTTTTTTTTTTTGTACATAAAATAATGCATTCTTAACATTCAGAAGAAAAGTTCAAGACCTCCCTAACTCTACCTCTAAATTGGCAGGCTGAAATCTGATAAGGAAGGTAACTGATGAGAATTATTCCTTGGTT